CAAAGATAAAGGAAAACTTGAAATCGCATCATATGACCCCTTAAAGCTTTTTTTGCGCTATTTTCATCTTCCGGGTTTCAAATCTACATCGTGTTGATGTCACAATTTGTGACGTGGCAATGGACTATAGTACATAGATGACACGTCAGTGTCTATTAAATTATTCATGAGACTGCTGTTCTTAATTATTCACAACAGCATGTGTTGATTTACTATGACAGACGTTTAATTCGACTGTGAGATGACATCGCGCACATTAACTGAGAGAAACGTTCATGGATCGAAGAAGAGTGTTTGTTTTTGCTTTTAAGGGTTTATGATTTTCTTATAAAATATTTGAGAGATACAGATTTGATTAGAAGAATTTAGTTTAGTTTTTTTTCTTCTTTTTAATAGTACTTTTTTAATTTAATAGTAGTTCATCGAGACCTCACACTCCATCCCAGTAGGTGGCGGAAATGCACCTTAAGCTGGTTTGCCAACCGCCATTAAACACAAAGGAAGAAGAAGAATCTCACTCCACGCACACGGCCACCATACTTGCTGTAAACATGGCGTCCGACGAAGATAGCGATGAGGATTTTGTGACTTATGGAACTCCTTTAGAGCCTCTGGAAGAAGGTACGATATATGTGCAATGAAGCTGTCATTTGGGTGAATTTGCAGGTTTATGATGCATTGGAGCTGTGAATGTTTTAATGAAAACTTCTGGCGTAGAAAGCACACATTTATCTACTCAATTCCACGGTATTCGTATATGTGTATTTCAGATGAACCCGTCAGAAAGCCGCTACCTGTGCACGAGCAGACGGTTAAAGATGAGAAGGGTCGTTACAAGAGATTTCACGGTGCTTTCACTGGCGGCTTCTCCGCTGGTTACTTCAACACAGTTGGCTCTCAAGAAGGTCAGTGACAGACTTGCTCAGTGCACTAAGGCTTTTAATTCTGTTTACCAGGTCTTGTCGTAGTTTAACTAATCTGCTGTGTTCTTTAGGCTGGACTCCATCAACGTTTGTATCATCCCGACAGCAAAAGGCAGAGAAACCGAATGTTAGACCAGAGGACTTTATGGATGAGGAGGTTTGTGTGTGGATCTCAGTTCTCCACGTCAGTAATACAGTGTCTTGATACCTGTAAAGTTCTTGTCATGTAAGTTTTGTCTAATAAAGAATATGTTTACTTAAAGGATTTTAGTGAGCACGGTATTGCCCCGCGAGAGATTGTCACCACTGATGATTTTGCATCTGGGAAGAAAGATCAGTTAAAGGACAAGGCAAGAGCGGTCAGCTCTCTTGCTGCTCTGATACCTGGAGACACTGGACTGCTGGAGGAGCTCATTGCCCCTGCAAGGTACTCAACACTCTCTAACTAATATGATCCAACTAAAACGTAGTTGTAAACTAAAGTTTTTACACTACATTGCATTGTGATGCCAGGTCATCCATTGGTGTGGAGCTGCTGAGAAAAATGGGCTGGAAAGATGGCCAGGGAGTCGGACCAAGACTGAAGAGAAAGCAATGCAAACAAAACGATGGTGATGAGAGAAGATGTAACACATGTTTTGTTTTAGCTGCAGTGCTGTTTTTATGTTTTGGGTCTGAAAAGGTTTGAAAATGTTAACATTTCAAAAAGCTTAGCTTTTCTCATCTTTTCTTTCAGATGCGGTTAAAGTTTATGGCTGTGCATTCCCTCCCAATGGATCAGAGGAGTCAGAGGTGGATATTGTTTAGCGTGTGATCAGATTCATTTGAAGCTTATTATGGCTGTGTCCAAAATCGTAGACTTTCATGACTGTTTAAAAAGTATGTTCTGTATAGCATAAATGTAATCTGGGGCCTGTTTCAATAAGGAGGTTCAACCAACTGAGTTAAAACTTGAACTCTGAGTTGACTTACTCTGAGATGGGAAACTCTTGAGTTTTCGGGTTCAGAACAGCTGAATTGAGTTAGTTCAATCGACTCTCAGTATGTTGACTCTGAGTTTAGCGCGTGCACCACGACTATGAAAAGCCATGATCAATGGAGCTCCGATATTATGATTCACCATGGCAACAGCACCCGACAAAAAGACGTCTGCATACTTCATGGTCAATACAAGTTTTCACAGGTGAAAACTGGCAGAACAGTAGGTTATTGAACTAATAGGCTATTCATTTTCATGGTGTCCCACGGGCAAAAAAATATATAATATAATTTAAGTGAATTTTTCTTATTTTACAAATGATCTGCCAATAGGGTAAGAAAAATACGGCAGCGGCTATTTACACTAAGTGGAATTAGCATACTTTCTTAGTGATAGATCCTATTTACAATAGGCTAAGTGCAAATAGCTCTAGATGCTATTTACGTTTAGTGAAAATAGTGATATATTCTATTTACCATGTAAAAGTAGCAGTTCTTTGCAATAAGTGTAAATAATAATTAGATGCTATTTATACTTTATACTGGCGGATACATACTATTTGCACCTCAGTATTGTTGTACATTAACCGGATGCAATAATAACATAGTGTAAATGATTATATTTATTAAAATTATAAATACTTTTATCATTATTAAACACTCGTTAGGCACTTCCACTTTTAGAACATTTTCTTCATTTTTATTGAAAATAAATTCTAATGTGATGGGAAAAGTAAGAAGAGCGAGCTCGGCAAGAGACTCTGGGTTTACCGAAGAAAACCTGCTCCTGACCAGGTTAGGTTCACAGAGTAAGTTACCACGGTAACTGACTCTGAGTTTAAGTTACCTCTCTTTCAGAAACAGGCTTGACATACCCTGCTTTCTCGGGTTTGACATACCTCCCATTCTGAAACGGAAAACCCAGAGTTTCCCTCATTTCAGGGTTAACATACTCAGTTTTCACTTAACCTCCTTTCTGAAACGGGCCCCAGGACATACACAACACAAACTACATTTGCCATGTTGTCGTCATTGTCATGTGACTTACCAGGGTCAGTTGGCATAGTAAAGTGTCCATTGGATGCGCAATTCAGAAAGTAGTAGATCATCTGGGTACTTTTCATCTACTGTCTTATGAATACTGTAAATTCAGTTACACTACTCTTTTCACATGCTGTTTTTTCACCTACTGTATAGTAGGGGAGTATAGATATTCGGATACAGCCTATGTGATTAATATGTGCAGAATGGACTTATTTACTGTTGAACTTAATATAGTCAGACTGAAAAAATTATATACCTGATTTTTTTATTTTTGAGGATGAAGATGAATTCGCTCCAGAGAATGTGTCATTTGCCCCCAAAGATGTGGTCCCAGTGGACTTCACCCCTAAAGTCGACTCCCATGGTCTGGGTTACCGAGGGCTGAATCCTCTTCAGGCCTTGGGTGGCGGATCAGAAACGGGACATATAAACCTCTTCACGCTTCAATCTGACAGAACAACCAGCTTATTTGGAGATAGAAATTCAGGACAGCAACGCAGAGGTGGGATTGGAGGACAGGTAAGGCCAAAGTGCCGTACAATCAGTAATGGCCTAAAAAATTTAATTTGAACACTTCTATTAGAAGATACATGCTGACACAGTGTGTGCATGTGTGCGCAGGCATTTGGTGTTGGTGCAATGGAGGAGGAAGATACTGATATTTACCATAAAGACTCCATGTCCAACTATGATAATGTTCTGGGAGGAGAAGAACCAGGGGATGGACTCTACGGATGGACCGCTCCACAGCAGTACACCAGGAAGAAGAATGGTTGGTGACAGGAAGTACTTTGCTGTGTTCTCATAAAGTCATGATACTTCCCGTTATTTAGGTTGCATCAGGATGTCAGAACTGGATTCTATTTGAGTGCCTATTGTAATGTGAGGCTTGCCAGGAAAAATGGTTTCTCTATGACAAATGTATTTGTATTTGTATTTTTTTATCCAGACTCAAAAAGAGATGTGGCATATTTGGGCAGGATTCTGGATGGGTTTACATTGGCCTCCCAAGTCACAGAGATAAAAACGGTAATATACTTTTTGTTCACAATGACAGTACAGTCAACTGCCCCACAGCCCGATTCCCACACTCTGTCTCGAACCTCTCCAACCAAATCTCAGGCTTCCTCTGAGACGCAGATGGCTTTGAAAGCTTGGTCCGGTCCCACTGCAGATCCAGTTCCTTCAGTTCCTTTATTAACTTATTTGCTGTGAGGCTCATTGGCTTTGTTTTCTAGGTCTATCCTCCCCCTGATTTGCCCCGTGATTATCGGCCTGTACATTACTTCCGTCCTGTGGTTGATTCATCCACTGTCAGCCCCATCGTTGCCCAGGCACTGCAGGCTTCACGCGGACACCTATCACAGGATGCACCACAGCAGGGCCGTCACAGCTTAGACTCTTCTCAGAGATGTGACATGCTGGGAGAAATGCCTCTACAGGGTAATGATATCCCTTTG